CGCAGGGAAACACTACGGCGTCTACAGCTGCGAGGGCTGCAAGGGCTTCTTCAAGCGCACGATCCGCAAGGACCTGACGTACACGTGCCGCGACAACAAGGACTGCGTCGTGGACAAGCGGCAGCGCAACCGCTGCCAGTACTGCCGCTACCAGAAGTGCTTGGCCACCGGCATGAAGCGCGAGGGTACCCGCGGCGCCTACAGGCGGCGCCTACAGGCGGCGGGCGGCGGGCGCGGGTGGTGGGTTCGGGTGTAGGTGGTGGGTGCAGGCGCTGGGAGCGGGTAGGGGTGGTGGATGCAGGTGTTGGTGGCTGATACAGGTGACAGATACAGGMGGTTGTGGATACAGGTAGAGGATACAAGCGGCAGATACAGGCAGTAAATGCCGGCGGTTGTGGTGGATACGCGTGGTGGATGCAGGTGTTGGTGGTTGATACAGGTGGCAGATACAGGCAGTTGTGGTGGATGAAGGTGATGGGTACAGGCGGCGGATGCCAGCGGTTGTGGTGGATATGGGTGGTGGATGCAGGTGCTGGTGGCTGATACAGGTGGCGGATACAGGCGGTTGTGGATACAGGTGATGGATACAGGCGGCAGATACAGACAGTAGATGCCGGCGGTTGTGGTGGATGCAGGTGCTGGGGGTCCATACAGGTGGTGGGTACAGGCGGTTGTGATTGATACAGGTGGAGGATACAGGTGGAAGTTACAGGCAGTAGATGCCGGCAGTTGGAGTGCATGCAGGCAATGGATACAGGTGTTGGTGGTTGATGTAGGTGGCAGATACAGGTAGTTGTGGTTGATACAGGTGGAGAATACAGGTGGTAGATACAGGCAGTAGATGCCAGCGGTTGTGGTGTATACAGGTGGTGGATGCAGGTGCTGGTGATCAATGCGGGTGGTGGATACGGGTGGTTGTGGTGGATACAGGCAATGGGTACAGTTGATGGATACAGGTAATGGATACAGGCGGTAGATGTAGGCGATTGTGGTGGATACAACTGGTGGATGCTGGTACAGGTGGTGGATGTAGGCAGTTGTGGTGAATACAGGCGATGGGTACAGGCGGTGGATGCGGATGAAGATAGTAGATAAGGGGGTTGTAGTGGATGGTAGTGCTGGGTACAGGTGGTGGCAGATACAGGCGGTGACGGTGGATGGGGTGATGGAAACAGGTGGTGGTAGTGGGCAAAAATGGTGGTGGTGGATAGGAGTGGTGGATACAGGTGGTGGGTACAGGTGGTAGATGTGGGTGGTGGTGTCTACAGGTGGCAGATAGAGATGCGGGTGATGGTGGTAGTTACAGGCAGCAGTAGTGGTTACAGGTGGTGGTGATGGGTACAAGGGATGGTGATGGATGCAGGTGGCAGATATAGGACCTGGTAGGTATGGGTGGGGTTGGTTACAGGGAACAATGATAGATACAGGTGGTATCCATCCACCTGTATCCATCACAGGGGTAGATACAGGCAGCAGGGAGTAGAGATGGTGGTGATGGAGACAGCTCATACGCACAGAATGGTGTTGGATACAGGTAGAGAGGATAGATACAGACTATGGTAGTTGATACAGGCGGCGGATACAGGCAACAATGCCAGATTCGGGTGGCAGTGGCAGATACAGGTGTCAGGGACAGGCGGCAGTGACAGGTTTAGGTGGTGGTGGTGGATACAGGTGGTGGATACAGGTAATCATGGCAAGTACAGGCAGTGGACATGGGTGGTAGTGACAGATGCAGCTGGTGGTAGATACAGGTGGCTGCACGTAACGGCTACAGATGACAACAATAGGGTGGTGAATAGCGGTTGCAGCGGCGGATACAGGTGGTGGATATGAGTGGCAATGACAAATACAGGCGCCAGCACCAGATCTACGTGGCACTAATGGACACGGGTGGCAGTGGGAGATAGGGGTGGTGCATATGGGTGACAGGGGGCGGCTCTGGGTGGCCGTGGCAGCTACAGGTGATGACAGCGGCTACAGGCGATGGCTACAGGTGACGGTTACAGGCGGCAGCAGCAGATCCAGGTGGTGGTGATGGACACGGGTGGCAGTGGTGGATAGGGGTGGTAGATCTGGGTGCCTCTGGGGGATGGCAGCAGCTACAGCCACCAGCAGCTACAGGCGGTGGTTACAGCTGACGCCTACAGGCGGCGGTAGCAGATTTAGGTGGTGCTGATGGACRCAGGTGGCAGTAGGGGATATGGCTGGTGGATACAGTGGATCTGGGTGGCTCTGGGTGGCGGCAGCAGCTACAGGCGGCAACGTTGGCTACAGGCGGCCGCTACAGGTGATGCCTACAGGCGGCAGCAGCAGATCCAGGTGGTGCTGATGGACACGGGTAGCAGTGGATGCAATGGATCTTGAGTGGTTCTGGGTGGTGGCAGCAGCTACAGGCGGCGCCGGCGGCTACAGGCGGCCGCTACAGGCGCCCGTGTCCCCTCAGCGGTGCAGGAGGAGCGGCAGCGGGGCAAGGACAAGGACGGCGACGGTGACGGCGGCGCCAGCGCCAACGAGGAGATGCCCGTGGAGAAGATCCTGGAGGCCGAGCTGGCCGTGGAGCAGAAGTCGGAGCAGAGCGTCGACGGCGCCGCCTCGGTGAGCGCGGGCGACAGGCAACCCCGCCGAAACACCCGGGCGTTCACGGCGCCCGCCGCGGCGGGGGGGTGCCCGCGTCACCCCGCTGACCCCCCCCCGCCCCGCTCGTCACCAGCCCAATGACCCGGTGACCAACATCTGCCAGGCCGCCGACAAGCAGCTCTTCACGCTGGTCGAGTGGGCCAAGCGCATCCCGCACTTCTCCGAGCTGCCCCTGGACGACCAAGTGATCCTGCTGCGCGCCGGTCAGGCCTGGGGGGTGTTTGGGGGGGCGTTTGGGGC